AATGGGAGAATCTAGAAATCAAGGAAGCATATCAAGGAAGAGAGAAACAGAATGTGTTATGTTGCAGGCGAGGACCAGGAAGTGGCCTCTGGTAGAGCAACTTGGAAGTCATTAATGACCTTGAGAAGCACAGAGAAGCCCCAACTGAATGGGGTCGGGGGAGTGGGAGGAAAGGACATCCTTGCCTTGGAAGTGGAGGGAGTGGTGTCTGGATATCCTTTCTGGGAGTTTTTATGGAAAGAGGAAGAAACACGCTGTGGCCATGGCTGGAGAAAACGAGAACAAGCTTTTAGGGAAAAACAACAGCAAGACACTTCCTGATGAAATGATCTAAAAGAAAGGGGAATCAATGGTGCAAAAGGGGGACAAGATCTGGCACACAGGCAGAGGGCAGGAGCACCTAGCCCACAGCGGCAGGCGGAAGGACAGGGATGTAAACACAGGAGGATGGGTAAGCTTGGGCCAAGCCACTGAGGAAGCTCTGGGACTTCTGTTTTCTCAAAGGCTCTCAGCTGAGAGGGAGGTGGCAAGGAAAGCCCGGGTAGGGTCGAGAGCTGAAGAGGAAGTGTAAAAAAGCTGAAGGTGAGGGAACTGGCTCTGGGACACAGCATGAGTGCCGGACAGCCACAGGCCCTCTGAATTCATGTGCTGGGCTTACCACAAGAGCAGTGGGATTGGACTGTGGTTTTCCTCAGACTGGAGAAAACCAAGCACTGGGTTTCACCAGGAAGAACTTTAGCCAAGTCTGATGAAACAGAATGAGGTGAGGGAGTTGGATTCAGGGAGGGAGGGAATCTCCTCACTTCTACAGGGGCAAATGCCTCTAAGCTGTCCTGCTCAGTTCCCCTTGCCGGTGCCTGGAAACTCATCACCCACTCTTGCAGTGGGCTAGTGTGGCCTTCCTTTGCCCTCACCACAGAAGAAGATTCAGAAAGGGTGAGCAGCTAGGAAAGCAGTGTCCCTTCCACCCACAGTCCTCTGACCCAGTAAGTACCTTAGACCTCACATACCAAACCCAGGCAACCATCACCCTTCCCAAGTCACAGGCAACAGCTCCTCCACTCATCACCCACCTCTAGCCTGACACTGAAGCTGTCCATCTATCTCTGGGCTTTCCTTATATCTCTTCACCCACATGCCTGGGTGGCCAACCAGCCACACAACTCCTGAGAAGCAAGCACTGCATCCAGTTCCCTGATGTCTTGTGCTGAACCATATCATAGCCAAACTGATCTCTCATCTACCATGCTAACACAGCCAATCCCATTCGTCCTCCTCAAAGCATCTTCCAGTGCTCAAAATAACCCCATTGCTCACCTCTGTAAAAATCCTTCAGGGGCTCTCAGTGCCTGGGGGGAAGAGTCAACTGCAACCCACATTCCAGGCCTGCTGTGCTCTGGGCCCCCTCTTTCAGCCTTGCCCCCCCATGTCCTTGCTGCCTCTGCCCACTTCTTTTGCAGGCTTTCCTTCTCTCTTCACCAGCAGCACTTACCCCAACCCCAAGGCGGTAAACTCTGAGACCAATCAGTGTCTGCTGAATTTCCTCTCTTGAGCATCTGGACTAATATAGAATTTGCTCAGTTGCACTGGTACAAAACTGTATACCCCTGCTGCAGGAATGCCCAGCTGGATGAAGTTCTGGAGGTAGGGAAGGAGGAGTAGCAGAACAGAAACAAAGGGACCCTCTGTCAAGTGCCCTCACATAACACCATCTATTGCAGGACAAACTAACAGCATGTGCCACCTGGTATGACACTGAGAAGGACAGGGCATCACCTATGAGATATGCTTGCCCAAGAATGTCTAACATGAGTCTGATCAGAAGCAAGCAAAAAGACAAATCTGGAACATGGGGGATTCTTCAAGACTTCAAAATTGATAAGGTCTTAGACAGCTTTTAAAACTTTTTAAAAATCAGGGGCTTGGGGCTGGAGAGATGGCTCAGCAGTTAAGAGCACTGACTGCTCTTGCAGAGGACCCAGGTTCAAGTCCCAGCACCCACATGGCAGCTAACAACCATCTGTAACTCCAGTTCCAGGGGATCTGAAACCCTCTTCTGACCTTCATGGGCATTGCACAACACAGGTGCACTTCAACACATGCAGGCAATACACTCATGCATATAAAATAAAAATAATAAGGGGCTGGAGAGACGGTTCAGTGGTTAAGAACACTGCTCTTGCAGAGGACCCCGGGTTCAATTCCCTGCACCCACATGGCGGCTACAAACCGTCCTTAACTCCAGTTCCAGGGGAATCTGAAGCCCTCTTCTGACCTCCGCAGCATTGCACAACACAGGTGCACTCACATACATGCAGGCAATACACTCATACACATAAAATTAAAATAAATATTAAAAAATAAAAATAATAAAAATAATTTTTTTTTAAATCAGGGGATTGATTGAGCACAGTATATCATGCATGTAATCCCAGCACTTGGAAGGTAGAAACAAGATCAGGAATTCAAGGTCATCCTCGGTGGTACACAGTGAGTTTGAACCCAGGCTGAGCTATGTGAGAGCCCTGTCTCAAAAACAAATGAAAGAAAAATTGGGGGATTAATTCAGATTGAAAAACATAATAACCAAATGCAATATATGCTTTTTTATAAAAAGAAAAGATTTACAACAACTATTATATAGCAAACATTACTGGAACAACTAGAGAAACTTGAATGTGGACTATACATCAGGTCAAATTGAACCACTACTAAATTTTTCAGGTATGATAACAATATTGCCATTTGGGGGAGGGGGGGGGATGTCCTTGACTTGGGAAGTTTATGTTGAAGCATTTTGAGATAAGTGTTATAAAGTCTTCAACTTTCCAAAAGATTGAAAGAGAGAGGAACAAACACAGTCAGATGTTAGTCCTGGTGAATCTAGGTCTCTGGGTGAAAGGGTGTAACAAGATGGAGTGTAACAAGATAGAGTGAGGCAGGAAAATGGAGGTGATACACCCCCAGCAGCCCACAATCTTGAAGCCATTTGGGCCATGGGACTGCCCTGGGCTAGATGCCAAAGTCATACAAGCAAAGCAAGCACAACTCGTAGTGCAGGAGCATTATGAGTAGTAGTAGTGGGGTAGTAGTGGGGAGCACAAACTACACACAAGGGGCCTAACTCCCCTGTGAACCAACCCTTTTGAGGAATATGGCTCTTGGGGCACAGCCAGGCCCAGAGAAATCTCAGCCAGGGCAGGACCGTGGGCCCCTCCTCCACATTGGAAAACCTGTGGCAAGGAGCCAGGTATAGCCCTGGACCCACCCAACCCTTAAACACCCCTCAAGGGGTGACAGCCTGAGTGTATCCTCCTGTGTAAGGAGCCAGGCTAAATATGGATCCCCAGGCATAAGATGCTTCTCAAAACAGATTTTCCTGGAAAAGACCATCTGGCAGAGGAGGTCTTGAGCATTGTCTGCCTAGAGAGGCAGCTTTGGTCCCTGCAAGTCTTCCTGAAGGGGAATGCCTTCATCCCACCTCCTTAGGAGACCTCCATGTAGTCCCTAAGTCTCCTTCAAAGTCACCCCTGCCCAGAAGAGGCACTCAGGCTCATTTCTGTCCTAAATTATAGTTCCAAGGAAAGAGAGGAGGCTGGGGGCAGAGAAAGTTCTTCTCAGGTGTAAGTCCTACCTCTGCAAGGTAGTTGAAGCAGGTCACTGCTCCCTGAGCCCAGTGGCTTCTCCATCAGAATGGGAGTGATGGTAGTGTCTCCCTCCAAAAGCTCACAGGTGTCAGGGTACCCCACACAGCAGTCATGTTCCATCAATAGAATGGGACAGGATGACTTCCCCAGGCCCTGTCTCTCAGTCTTGTCCAGAACAGGAAGTCATCCTAGCTAGCTCTGCTCTCTCCCTTCAGGAATGATCCTGAAAGGTGGGTCACTATTGGCCAAAATTGTTTGGGGAATGTGGCCCCATAATGAGCAAACCAGGACAAGAAGGAGACAGACCTCTCAGTGTGGCACAGACCTCCAGAGCCATAGGGACCAATCACACAAGCAATGAGAATCCTGCAAGAAGCACCAGTGGAGGAGGCCTTTTAAGGGAACCCCAGTCATTCCTCTACCTTGTGGGCCCTGAGTGTTCTTACTATGCCTATGGACTCTTCCATCTGCCCCCCAGATCTCTTCCTGGGCCCCACAAGATGGCCCCAAGACAAAGAGTGGGCATTGAACAGTGTACCCCAGGTCCTGTGTAGAAACAATACCTCCAGTTCTCATTCCAGGGAACCCCAGACCCTCCAGGGACAGAGGGAGTCTAGGAGGGGGCCAGCTGGATAGAGTAGTTCCCACATCTGTATTCCCTGCCTCATCCAGTTCCAGACACGGCTCCAAGGACCCCTCCTCCCCATACTGCCACAGCCATTCGGTGCGGCCTGGCCTAGCCTGCCGCCTGCCACGCCCCCACGCCAGCCGCTGCTTTAGCAGCGCCAAGGAGGCCTGACCGCCAAGCCTGCCTGTCAAAGTTGGGAAACTGGAAAGAGAAATAAATCCTCAAAGCTGCTCCGTGGTGGAGGTGGCTGCTGACAGTCCCCAGTTCACAACACCCCAACCTTGGACCACCAAACTGACACTGGCACCCCATCAACGCACACCCTGACACTCGGATTATACAAAAGGGGGATGGGGCCAGGAGGCAGAGCCCAGGAGACAATTGGACCAGCAGCCCTTATCCTCCTTTCAGGCGGGGCTGGGGCTCTTAGCGGCACCCCACTCCCTAGCCCAGTCCTGACAGTCTTGGGCTTCCTCTCGCTGCCCCATCTCCATGACAACCGCATCCTTTAACTGCTCCAGCCACCGCAGAATTGATCTCGAGATGCAGCTTTGTTAGCAGACCCCAGTGGGCAAAAAGGGCTGAGGGCGGCTCCCGCCACCCAGCCTGCGATCCTCTCCCCACCTTCAGCCCCTTCCCAGGGTCTTGCTGGCCTGGAGAAGGGAGGGGAGGGGTCCCGGAGCGTGCAGGCCTTGGGGACACGGTGGCCCGAGGCCCCAACTCACCGCTCAGGTCCCAGCCACGAGGTCCCCTCTCACGGCGGGGCCATGCGGAGGCCGCCCCTGGACCGGCGGTCCCGCGCCACAGCCGCCTGTTGGAGCTCCCCACGTCCGCTTCTGTCCCCTCAGGTGTTGGAGCGGCGGCGGTGGAGACGCTGGGCAGAGATGGGGGGACGGACGGCAGGAGGGAGGGCGCCGAGGAGAGGAGAGAGGGAGGGAGGAGTGGGAAGGACGGGAAGGGCGGGGGTGAGGGGGGAACTGCGGGCGCGCGCCTCCGGGAGGGGACCGCGACCACGCAGCGGACCCGCCCGCAGTGACCAGCCACCCAGCGCCCGACCTTGTGCGCGGCGCCTGTCCGCGAGGGCGCGGCCACCCCTGTCCTGCACAGGCCCGCGCTGGGCCCTTTAAGAAAGTGGGGGAGGGGAGCGCCGCGAGGTTCCGCCCCCTCCTGGCCCGCCGGGCGGCTGTCTTCGAACCCCTGGCCAACCCTACCACTATACATACCTCTGGAGGGCCCTTGGCCCCGAGCCCCTGACCCCACGTGACCCGACAGGCCCTCCTCCAAGTGAAGGGCCTTGCCCTGCTCCAGTGGTCTGTCTCTCTGACCCCCACCCTCACTCTGGGAGACCCTCCAGGGAAGAGGGGAGTGCAGGGGGCAAGGTGGAGGTTTCTCAGAGGGAGGGAGGCACCCAGAGGTACAGACAAATCTGGGAGTGACAAGGAGTTGGGGACAAAGCTGGAGGGGGCAGAAAAGAAGAGACAAAAGAGAGGCCTGATAGAGAAAGGAGTAAGGACTGGATCTGAGAAAGGGGCAAGGCCCAGGCCAGGCCACCCTAGGCAGTGATGGGAGACAGAGAACGCTCATCCAGAAATCATCTCCCAAGGCATCTCCCCCATGGCTAGTCATGACCTTGAAGGCCCCCACCCTTGCCGCAGCTGAGGAAAGTTGGCCATACTGGACCTCCCTGGAAAGAGCAAGATCCTACTTCCCAGAGGATTATTAAAGGGCCCCAACCCTAGGGATCTAAGGAGACCAGGGACTAGGAAAGTAGAGAAGGTAGGTGGGAGGGTGGGGAGAAGACCCAGTCTTTGGGAGAGAAGAAATCAAATCAGAGTCAGGCCTACCACAGGAGGCCAATTTCCACGTCTCCCATTCCAGCTCCCAGGAGCTGGTCACAGGTGCTGGGACACTTGTGAGCAAGGTGAACCTGGTTTTTTTAGGCTTCAGTCTTTACTTCCTGTCCCCCTTAGACTGAAGCCTAAAAAATCCAGGTTCATCTTGCTCACAAGTGTCCCAACACCTGTGCACAGTGCAGGGAAGAACAGCAGGGAGGCAGAGGAACACCACGCCCAATGTGGGCTGGGCTAGCATCTGCCATGGGTCCCTAGAGCCAGGGCTCATTGCCCAGGTTCCAGCCTGCATTGTACTTCCTGGCTGTGAAGCCCTGGGCAGCGGGGTCCTCCGGGCTTTCCCTCTGCCCAGGGACCCAGCTCCAAGAGCTTTGTGGAGCTCCCACAGGCTCCAGGTGGGTACCACGGTGGGCCCAGGAGGGAGGAGTACTGTCATCCTTGTTGTTACTCCTGCCCCTTGAAGGCTACAGGGCAGTGCCCTGTGCAGCAGCCAAATGCATCATTACCTCCCCCTATCGTCCAAGGAAAGGAGAGCCAGCAAGTGACACCTCTACCTCCCCACCCACCTCACCTGAAGGGTCTCAGGAAACAGCTGCAGCCCTGAAACACCCACTTCTCCCATCTTCCAGAGGAAGACTGAAGCCTGGGGATGGAATGCTGCCTGAAGATTCCCCCAGACAATCCCAGTGTGGTCTGTGGTGCCCAGTGCACAACCTGGCTCTAACGCAGCCCTCAAGAGCACCTACAGAAAAAGACCCCTGGCCA